TTTTATAATACCATCTTTTTCCATTTCTTGCTAATTCCTTTTTTAATGGATTTAATAAACTAAATGGAAAGTTTCCTTACAGGGTTCTATTTTACTAACAGCTCCTGGTTTTAATTTAATATGATATGTATATCCAGTTAAATTCCCAGTTCCTTTAACACAATCTTGATATCCTTTTAAAGATTCTGGTAACTTTTCATTGGAATCAGGATTTACTGTACAAATCCTTTGTATTAGGTTTAATTTTTGCAAAGTAGGTAAACCTAAAATAGCTGGAACAGTTTTATCACATGCTACGACTTGAAATTCTAATTCATCCTTGTCCCCTTTCGATGTTTTACATAATAATTTACATTTTCCGAGTACATCAATTGTAGTACCATTGTAATTATTTAAAGTGACTTTTGATTTAGTCAAACATTTATCTCTTAAATTTAATTGTTTAAATTTAGGCAATTGAAACACATTACACTGAGCTCCAGTATCCAACTTAACAAATACATATTTAGATATGTTTACTTTTAGTTTTTCAAACCATTCGGTTTTATTTTTAGAAAATGGATATTTATCTTCTACTGACCCTAAAATAGGGTTGGAGGGAAAGCTCTGTCGTATTTTAAAGCAAATATTTGAATTCATTTATAAAAATATGTGTTTAATATTAATCAATTATATATGCTCCGTTATTTGTTACAACCTGTTGCCATCTTCCAGGTAACATGTAAATTCCTGTTTTGTAGAAGTTGTCGGCCATTGGAGTTAAAATAGTCAGCAACTGCCTTAGAAAAACTTTCAAAAGACTTGAAGTTTTTTCCCCATTAGATAATTTTGCAGACATCTGAACAGGTAATAATCAGCTGGTGCACAATGTCAGGTGAATATGGGGGGTGACTAAGGATTTCCCATCCTAACGCATTCAGTTTTTGTAGTGTCACCACTGCAGTATGCGGGCGAGCATTATCGTGATGGAACACTATTCCTTTTCTGGACGCTAATGCTGGCCTTTTTCTTTGATAGCTACATTCAATTTATCCAGCTGATTGCAGTACAGATCTGCGTCGTTGAATGGTTTTTCCCTGTTTCAGCAACTCGTAGTACACACTGGACCTTTCCTGTCCCACCACAAACAAAGCAGTACTTTTCGTTGATGGATACTTGGTTTTGGAACTGTTGTTGATGATGTTCCTGGTTTGCAGTAAGATTTGTTTCTTTTAATATTCTCGTACAGAATCCACTTTTCATCTCCAGTAACCAGCCTGTCCAAAAACGGCTCCACATTGTGTCTAATCAGATGTGATGAACATATTCTTACACGATCAGACAAATTCTTTTCCGTTAATTCATGTGGAACCCAAACACTTTGCTTTAACACAAACCCAAGAGATTTAATGTGATCTCCAACAGTTGTATGATGAATGCCAAACTCTTCTGCAATTTCTCGACTTGTTAAATGTGGATTATTTTCCAACATGGATCGCAAAACATCATTATAGATCTTGGATGGTCGTCCAGATCGAACACTTTCTTTGAGGCTCAAGTCCCCGGAACGAAATTTGCTAAACCATCTTTGACAAGTACGAACATTTACAATATTTTTCCAAATACCGCACATAAATTTTTACATGCAACAGATGCGTTGCTTCCTTTTTGGAATTCATATAAAATGCAGTGTCGTAAATGCACTTTATCTACCGACATGTTTTTCCCTTTAAATATTACAAGTAAATGATGAACAGTAAAAAAGGGCACCTTTTATATTATACAGCAGCTAAAAAAACAAAACAAAAAATCCGATTGACTCACTAGCCAGATGTTTTTTTGTTTATTTACAAGAAAAATCACCTGCCTATTTAAAATACGACAGAACTTTCCCTCCAACCCGTCATTACCATTATTATGTAACGCATGCTCTAAATTATTCTGTACAACACTAACATTTTTATAAGTGCACATTTTAGAAAAGTGATTTTTTCTTTTTACAGTACAAGCAAATCTTATTATATGCAGGACAGTTGTATAACTTATGAAAGGTTCCACATTTTCTACATAGTTTTGGGTTATTGTATTTATTTCCTTGATAGTTTGAAGAAGATTTAGTACTTTGTTGCTTTTGTTTAACATGATAGTCTGTCTTACAAGGCTGATTTTTTCCTCTGAAGGTCGAAATTTATTACGTTTGATAGCTTCTATTTTAATTCCTTCAGTTAAAGTTTTCCGCTGAAGTTCTGCTAATTCAGAAGCTTTACACATTTTAATATATTTCTCCAATGTTAACTGATCTTCCCTTAATAATCTATCTTCGGGATTTTTATTTAGAATTCCACTTACTAGTCTATACCTTATTAAACTATCTCTTAATTCTGCAAATCCACAGTTGCTACTTAATTCTTTAAATCGGTTAAAGAAATCATCAAACGATTCACCTACATGTTCTGTTCGACAGAAAATATATGTCTATCAAAACTTTCGTTTGCTTTCGGTATGCAAAAAATTTTCGAAAGCTTCAATTACTTTGGTCAACATCCTTCTTATCTTCTTCACTTAAATTAAAAGTATTAAACTTTTCAAGTGCTTCTTCACCAATAATATGCAATAAAATAGCTACTTTAATTTCAGGTGATTGAGTAATACCACCAGACGCTAACATATAAATTTGGAATTTTTGTTTCCATTTCTTCCAATTTTCGCTTAAATTACCTTCGAAAATTAGATTACTTGATGGCTTTAATTCATCCATATTTAATTTAGGACTTTAAGTAGTTTATATATACGTATTTTTAGCCACTTCCAATAAAAATAAACAATGCACTTTCCAGCGATATAAGATTCGACTTCACTGTAAACAACTTTCCATCATGTTTTTGTTTAGAATATCTTTACCGATGTTGCATGGTTCTTCAAAAAAGATTTTCTTTCTTTAATCAACGATGGGCTGCGCCATGTGTTTTATTTCATATATGTTGGGTATGTGCTCAGTGATGATTACAAGATGTACACAAACATCGTTTATTCTACATTGCTCATCTACTATTCTATATTACAGTTATGATTTAAGATAATAATAGATACAGTTACAGTTACATACATAACAATGTTGATATTCGGCTCGAGACGTTACGTTTTTCAAAATTAGACGGCTCTTAGGTACCGTTGTTTTATCACAATGAGGGAAACATACATAGAATTTATGCAAATTCTTCGTTATTTAATTTCTTTAAATATAATACAGGGCTCAAACGTTTGGTGGCAAGAATTTAAAAAGTGATTCGCCGTTTACAGTGAATCAACGCAAAATGCCAAAACAAAATTAATAGCCTTTTTAGACAAATTGCCCTTTGGGCTAAAAATAGCATTGCCAAATATTAAATATATTATTATTATATAAGGTCATATTCTGAAGTTGAAGAAAGTATGCGTTTGCATGTGACGTCATTGTACGTCGAATATTTTTTGTTAATGTCAGCATTTTAAATAACTAGCTGCTGTTGCCAACTTTTTTGTTGTAGGTTACGATAACTGAAATACGTTATTGCCACGTTAATTCTTTTATTGATATTGATAAAAAGGTTGTTACATTACATTAAATTTAAATCATGACGTCATCCGTGATCTGAAATTTTGTTGCCTGGTTTGGCAACAAAAAATTATTTACGAAGTGGGGAAGAATGAGCGGATTTCATTCACTCTGAAATATTTTTATGCACTTTATTTTCATGTGTGCATAGAACTCATAAAATTTGCTTTGATCGCAGCTAGTAACTTTATATACAGCACATTAAATTAATAGTTCATTTTATTTTCAGTTTTTATATATTTCTTTTCAGTTTTTTTCAGAACTTATAAATATTGCTTTGGCTTGACCGCTAGTACTCGTTAAATTGCGTACATAAAAATGATCTGCTAAAATTTAGATTGCTAGAATTTCGGTGGTTACTTCATAGGATTATCTGATATTTGTGTCAAAAATGTGTGTGTGTGTGTCTGATATCTGATAATTTGTGACAATTATCTTTCTTTTTCTGTTTTTCTTCAAATGCAAACGATTATGTTAAAGCTTCGTCAAAATTAAATTGTACAAGGGTAATATTTCTTAACACTAGAAGCGCCGTTGGGGTCATTTTGACCTCTTTTTCCAATTTTCCGCGTTTTTTTTTAACATACAGCTGAGCTTCGAAGCTGATATTTTTTTACTTTTTCTATGTTCCAGTATACATGCCAATTTTTCATATTTCTAACGTTAATTATTTAAATAAATAATCGCAGATACCTAAAACAGCCAACTGGGGTCATTTTGACCTCATAAGAAAACGACATATTTTTAAGCGAATGTCCGTTTTCAAATTCCCGATGCCACATTTTGTTCTGCGCATGGGAAACACGCAGCTGTTATCGCGATGACTAGAGAAAAAAATAAAATCCAGAATGGAGCATATTCTCTCTCCATTGCAATGCGAGAGGAAGAGGATTGAGTACAGAGTGCCTTCTGAAAACTTGGTACAAGCTAATGGAAAACTGTATTTATGCATAATCCTGGACCAGAAATAACCGTTGATGAACAATTGTTGCCTTAAATCAAGATGTAGATTATCCAGTACATGGCGAATAAACGGGACAAGTTTGGCATCAAATTCTGGCTAGCAACTGATGTAAAATCCAAATATGTCTTGAATGGTTATCCTTATCTGGGCAAGAATGAAGAACGACCAACTAGTTTACAACTTGGGGAAAGTGTAGTTCTCAAATTGCTGTAACCACATTTAAATTCCGGACTCAATGTCACAACTGCCAATTTTTTTTTTACTTCCGTGAAACTTGCAGATGAACGTTCTGCGAAAAAAACCACAATTGTCGAGACGATGCGTCTGAATAAGGGATAATTACCCCCTATTGCTCGTGATACTTCCTCGACACGATATTCATCTTTTGCACTGAAAAATGAAGACAAAACATTCACAATATAAAGGTGCAAGAGCAGAAAGAATGACGTGATTCTGAGCACGATGCACAGTAATGTGTTCGTTGACGACAGCATAAAGAAAAAACCGAACACTGTCACTTACTACAATAGTACAAAATGTGGCTTTGATGTCGCAGATCAGATGCTGAGGAAATATAGTACAAGTAGTGGAAGTCGCAGATGGCCTGTACATGTTTTTTACAACGTCCTTGACATTGCTGCACTCAATGCTTGGATTTTATTCAAAGAATCCTTGGGCACCTCTATTTCCCGTCGAGAATTTATTCTTGCACTCGTGGAAGAACTACGAGTTGGTGCACTACGATGCCCTCCAATTGCTCAAATACAGACACTTAAACGAAAGAAATGTGCATTTCAAAGTTGCAAGGGACAAAACAAGACTGTTGTCAGCTGTGAGGGATGCCAGAAACCAATTTGTGGTAAATGTGTTGCTGTCACTGTCAAGCGTTCATATTGTATCACCTGGTAATGTATAACAAATTTGGAAAACATTGTGTTTATTCCCAATTTATTTTTTTTTTTTTTTTTTTTTTTTTTTTTTTTTTTTTGTAATTTTTTGCATATGTTCTATTTTCCACTTTTTGCATTTGTATCTTTTGTTTTTATCAAAGATTTGTTTTTTGTTTTTAATCTTAAATTGAAAGATATTGTTTGCTAATTTGCACTAATTGCACGAAAAAAATTCTATATAAAAAATAAATAAAAACATTATCATGTTCAATGTTCCTTCTAACCTCTTCGGGAACATGCAAGGACTGAATCGGAAGAGAGAGCTTACTAAAGCTATGTTCAAAACTGTGGGAAGTAGACAGGATACACAAGAAGGGTATACAAAACCCTTTATTTTCTCTCTTTACAATGACTTCCGTACTTCGGAATACACCGACCCTACTTGGGGTCAAAACGTAAAAAGTATAAAAAATAAAACTAAACTCTAATTTAACTTTAGAATAATAAACGTGGGAAGATTGGCCTTATATTAACAGGAAGCGTATGTAGTACAGAGAACTGTGAACACTACAATAAGTTTGAAATTTATCAAGAGGATTAAAACCTCTGGCCTGGAAGCAAAGCAACTGCGTAACTTCTAAGGTAAGCGGCCTGCTTCGACTCACTGCCTTCCTCTCTCTCGCTTGGCAAAAAGCCACAACTTAAATACTTGGCGTTCGCCAGACAAACTTGCATAAAAAACCTTAACGCTTATAATTCTGGCCGGAAGTAGAAAATAAGAAGTGATAGTAAAGATTTAAAATAAATAAACGTTAGTAAAACTTAAGATCCTTACATACTTCCCGCCAGAGTTAATTAGTTTGAAACTGAGGTCTAAAAAACGACCTTGTTGAAAAATTTTCTTTTTAGCTCTAGAATCTAACGCGAGGCCAATCTTTTACAAAATTTTCTTCGCTAGAAACTAGAAATTTAAAAGAAAAAAAGAAATTTGTTTTTACAATAGCAGCTCCAGGATACACAATTTTTTTTCATCTGTACTGCATCTATACAGGAGCTTTTATTCAAATTCTGGTTCCTTCCAGAGATCTGGAAGGAAAACTAGTTTAATGAAATGTTACACAATGAAATGGCAAGTAACATGTATAATATATTTTACTTAACATTCTTATTTCATTCATGACTATTTTAATTATCTCCCCCGTGCTCTCTGACATGTGTTTAAAAGAACACCAAACACGAATGGTTTTCTGTTACCGTGTTCACACTTCTCCTACAATCAAAACACTAACGTGTTAAAATTCAACATGCCAAGACCTCGTGAACACACCCTAATTTCAACTCTAAACCCTGAGGTACTATTGAAAGGTGTCTAACTCTGAAGTGTAGCGTCAGAGAGCCTAACTACATCATTCAACCTTTAACACATATTCAACATGATTTAGTCTTTTTACAATCACACGAATAAAAAAATTTTTTAACATTACTTTCACTTTTACCATATCACGGGTATTTCTTAACATTTAAAATAACAGTTCACATTGTATATAAGAAAATATCAACATGCCGTTAATTTTACACATTTGAAAACATACATTAGTAGTACATTGTTAACTTCTATCTTTTCAAAGCAAGTGCCAATTCTTTCTACATTGAAATACTACATTTCAAAAAGTCTTTCAGACCTAAAACTTCTTTCTTGCTAGAATGTTTTAAATAAAATTTATACAATAAACTTTTTACAATATTTAAGTCTTTACACAAACCTATATACATCAACTTTATTTTACGCGCGAGTAATGCGCGAGTATTGAAAAACATAATACCAAAATCGGTAACAACTCATTTCTCGCCCTTTTGGCGATAAAGGTAGACCTCGCATGAGGTAAAACTTCTTGAAATCTGCCACTTGCAGTAAGAATGAAAGATTAACTTAAGTTTGCAAAGTAACATAAAACTTTTCTTATCTTTGTGACATTCGGACATTCTTTTCACTGCCCAGACCTGGAAGGTAGCGAAGATTCGTTGTTTGATTTATCCTCCCTCTTGTGCGGACTCGCCCTTCAGTTCCTTCCTGTAGGAGCTTCCTCTTTTCCCTCCAGTTCGGTCACCCTTGAAGACCACCTTTTCCGCCTCTGCCTGTGGTCTTGGCCGTTTGATGGCAGCTGGTCATGGCGGAATCGGGAGACTTCTCTCTCGTTCCTGCTTGGATCTCGTTGCTGTCCGTTCAAATTTTCTTGTAACTTTTCCTCCGCCGCTGATGGCCCTTCCGCAGTTCGGCGACATTTGCTGCGGAGAGTCCTGTCGGATGAGTAGATCTTCCGTTTTAGAGCCGGGTTATAGTTGCCGTCATTTCTCCTGGTTCTCTTCACATCCGTAGTCCTTCTCCCTTCTTCATTCTGGGGGTGTTCGTGACCTCTCTTTTCTGACGGTGGACGTGTGGAACGGCTTCTTTTTCTCTGCTACCTTCAATTTTTCCGCGTTGGAAATTTTCTTTTAACTTGCTCCTGCCTCTTAATGGCTTGCCCTTGTACTTGTCGTTTTTCCACCTCTGGAAGCTTGTGCCTGCGGTTGTCTGCCGTGCCGGATCCTGCAAAAGATCTGAAAATATTTGCATTTTATTACGATCATAGTAGGGTTTGATTGATCAATGTTTGCGGACAGGTTTCACCATTTCTGGCTTTTTAACACTACTACAGCGTGAGTTATTTTTTCTATAACATATGGTCCTTCAAATCGTGGAAAAAATTTGGCAGTTTTATCTTCTGGTGCTGAAGAAAGTGAATGCTTAATTTTTAAAACTTCATCCCGCTTTATAAGTTACTCCCCGTCGTTTCAAATCATAATAGAGCTTCTGTTTTCTTTGTGCTACTTCCGTATTCTTTTTTGCTTCTTTATTAGTTTTTCTATATCAACCCATTTTAAATTCTGGGGCTCTTTGTTGCACATAAAATAATTTATCTAACGGCGTTTATAATCTTTCTGCCTAAAAAAAAAATAACTCAGCAGGAGTTTTGCCCGTTGTATCATGTTTTGCGGTCCTAAGGGCGAAAGCAATTCATTGACATAGTTATCCCAGCTTTTATGAAAATTTTTAACATAACTACGGATAATTTCACTATATTT